TCGTCATCATCATCATCACCATCATCATCATCGTCATCATCATCAGCCTCCTCACAACATCATCACCATCACCGTCATCACCATCACCATCATCATCATCACCAGCATCATCCGAATCAGCAGCCTAATCTTCCTCATCATCATCAGCATCATCAGCAGCAGCATCAACAGCATCAGCACCGTCATCATCAGCACCATTATCATCAGCAGCAGCAGCATCATCATCCTCAGCATCATCAGCATCATCAGCAGCATCCAGCATCATCACCAGCAGCATCATCCGATTCCTCTTCATAACCCTCTTCCTCCTCCTCTTCGCTCACCCTCGTCCTGAAACTATGGCAAGAGTTTTTTTCCACGAGTAAGCAAAAACACTCGGGCCAAGCACCAAGTTAATGAATCCTCTGGTGCCTCTCCCTGCTGCTACACTAAAGCCACAGCCACACTAGGCAACCCTGCCCACCCAGTCAGAACGCCACAATGCAACGCACCCACCCTCGGCGGATAAGCGGAATGCGGAGGCAGACAACATGGAAACAGGGTATTAAGCAAGAAAGCAACACAGTGAAGCCAGAACTCCATCCCAGCAATCACGTCACTTCATGACCGACACAATCGCTGCACGCTGCACTGCGGCGTTCGCCGTTCCTGGAGCCCCCCGCGGGCTTGACCAGGAAATAAACTCATACACTGGGGAGGCCCAACAATGTCGTAGGCCCCTGGGTCCATAGCAACAAGAACCGCCTCCATCCCAGCCCTGGCCCCTCATTGGCACTGAATTGCCTTCTTTGTTGGGACACTCCATCGCCACTGGTTCCTGGCGTATTTTTGCATCAAAACTTGCCCTTGTTTGCTACATTCCGAAATTCGTTTGCCATGGTCGGTACCACGGCTACACTTAACGCCGCACTCATGCAGCGCAGACTTCTTCTTGATCCCTACCCTGGCTTCCCTGATCATCCTCGTCGTCACCTAGCACTGCATCTTCCAGTTCTATGCCCCCTCTAGGTGGTCCTGGCGTTTTGGGTCATCAGCGCCTTCGCATTCGCCGACAACCCCGCCCTACTCGACCTGTTGCACCCTGGCCCTGGAAGAGGTTAACGTGAC